GCAATTCCAGACCTGCCGCCACGAAGAGTCACACGAAGTCGACCGTTCCAACACGTCGGCATCGACTACTTCGGTCCAATAGTCGTAAAATCCCGGGAAGGAGAAGGAAAGGCAAAGGCCTACGGTATCATCATCACATGCACAACAACTCGTCTCATTCACTTGGAATGCGTGGAGGACATGTCAACGGTACAATTAATGAATGCGCTCCGCAGATTCTTCGCCCGTCGAGGGTACCGGAGACTATAACGTCAGACAACGCACCTTACTTCCTATTAGGAGACCAGATTCTTCGCGACGCAGTAACTCCTGTAGCACAGAACTCAACGATGGCTGCGACGATGGCAACGAAAGGAATTGCATGGCAGATGATTACCCCTTACGCTCCGTGGCAGGGAGCGTTCTACGAGAGGCTCATCAAGACCATTAAACATTCCTTGTACAAAACCATAGGAAAAGCCGTCTTGACATTCGAAGGACTTACCACGCTGCTCACGGAGATCGAAGGGACATTGAACACACGTCCTCTAACGTACCAAGAAGAACACTGGAACGATAGACCGACTCTTCGTCCGATTGACTTCGTTCAACGAGATATGATCATCACATACCCGATGGATGGAATTGCAGACGTGAATGAAGATCCGGACTATTATCCAGCCGAAGAAACTCTTCAGCTACGTACCCGGCGTCAAGCAGAGGAAGCCCTACGTAGCTCGTACCAATTCACGGAGAAATTCTGGGAAATTTGGAGAGAGGAATACCTTACCGCGCTCAGGGAACAGCATACTCGCTACCTAGCCGGCAACCATGGCACACCAGGAACGGTGGTGCTACTCATGGACCCCAACCTACCCAGGAACACTTGGAAAATGGGCCGCATCACAGAGGTCCACTCCAACAAGGAAGGTGTCGTACGTGAGGTCGAGCTTATCTTGCCGAACAAACGACTCACACGGCGCCCGATCAACCTGCTCGTTCCGCTAGAGTTAGACGATCAGCAAAGAGAACTCGACAACGGAACCGGAATAGTACCACCCAGCTCCACGTCGGCGAATGACGTTGGACCAGAAGTGGAAACACCTCCGGAAGTCGCATCTCAGACAAGCGCTGAGCAGCAAGACGCTCGAGAAAAGGAGATGACTCCCCGTACGTCATGCGACCGCTACAACCTCAGGAGACAACCGCGGCTTCGCTATGACTTACTCCACCATGGAACACTCATCACGATACCCTCGGATTGCTAGGATCGGTACATACACACACAATCCGTCCTCGCATTAGGGTCGGCCTCGGTACATCCACCGCGTCGATACAATGCACACCGGAGGGAATGCTTATCAAAACCTCAGGGATGAAGTCGTACGAATTATGTTCTGAAGGATCCTGCATCACCCGTGACAACCCACCGGAGTCAGAACTAATAAGGCTTCCTCCAGAGATCACCCTCCATGAACATAAAGTCCACTGGAAAGTGACCAACGGAACGAAAATGAAGACTGTGGAAACGACCTGTCCAGCTATGCCGTTCTGCCCGCAAGTGGACTGCTGGTTTTGCACGGCAAATGTCTTCAACCCTGCATGCCAACCGCGTACCGCTTTCATTAGCATGGCGGTTCTGCTGTATGCACTCATAGCGTTCCTGTACACATTATGCTACGTACCAGTCGTGCTGGGTAAACCCGTCAGAATATTCTTCTGCGTCGCAAGATGGATCATGAGAACAGCCATCAGGGCAGCCGTAAAGTTCGTCCGTCAAAGACCAGCTCAAAGGACATCGACAAGTCCACAAGCAAGACGGGCATCAGCGTCACGATCAACAGGATTTGTACCGATTCTCCTCATTGTCACTTGTGCACTCCAGTGTACAAGAGCATGCCAAGATGTCGACATATTCGAGCACAGAATGACCACCTGCACGAAGTCTGCATCACACCGGCAAAACTGCACGGTCGACGTCACAGAGATCGTGAAGCTCAACACGTTCAACAAGGAAGCGTGCTTCCGCATTACGAACAAAGTCGAATGCTGAAGGAGATCCGATTGGAATGGAAGACACTTCAACTCATTTGCGACAAGCAAACTATCACGTATACACGAGCGGCAAAGCAACACGTGCTAAGTTCCAAACGATGCTCCCATATCGGCAGCTGCGTGGACACTAAATGCGCAGGGTCAACACGACCACCCTTCTTCCGGAACTGATGGAAGCCAACCTCTTCCCCGGGAGTGACATACTGCGTTGAGAGTTGCGGAGGACCAGGCTGCGGATGCTTCTACCTCAGCAGCGGATGCCTATTCTACCGCGTCTTCATGAAACCTGAGAGCACCGAAATCTTCGAGATATTCAGCTGCTCACGCTGGAGAGAGGAGGTCGTTCTCCACATAACAGTGACAACGGATAAGAAGACCACCGTGAACGAAGCCAGGCATCTCCGACCGACTATATCAGTACAACACCAACCATGAAGCTCACACTCAGTTCGCTTACGGTACCACCCTCACCAGTGTTGCACACGACTTTCATAGCCGCCAGGACAGGACGTAGCTCTGTGGGATGAAAGTCAGCTGCCGCCACTACAGTGCACTTCGAACAGGGAGGCGGAAGCTCTGGCATGTGACGTTCACCCCATCTGCAACTGCCAACCAGCAGAAGACACTGTCAATTGCGTCTGTGTCGACCATAACGTCACTGAAATCTTCACTGATGTACGGCGAAGACTTCCCATACGAAGATCATGGATTCGCTTTCGAGAGTATGGCCAACGGGCCACAAGATGCTACAGTCCGCGCAATCGTGTCCAGTCTGTCCACGGCAGAACTTCTTCTGACCATCAAGGAAGATTTCGATACCACCGAGAAGGAAGTCACAGACACGATATGCACGATCAAGGACTCCACTATTCATGGCTGTTATATCACTGTACACAGGGCGCAGTGGCCACCATACTGTGTTACAGCGAAAGAGAGTACACGATGGCATCGATAACCTGCGACGACGCCACCTTCACAGTGCCGTGTCATCCAACAGGAGCAATCTCGACGCTCCGATTCAGCTTTACACGAGCACAGATACGTCAACAATGTGTGACTACGTGTGGAACCACCAAAACGACGTTCGAGCTCACTGGGATTCTTTATTGGACCCGAACGCTACGTACGACAGCAGAAAGAGTGATCGCTGGACAGAGCACGGTCTACGAATTCGTACTGCCAGATTTAGGACATATTCTGGACGTGTTCATATCCTGGTACAAGTTTGGAATCACGGTCGTGGTCATTGCTCTTCTCAGCATAGCTATTGGCTACGTTTTTCTCTGGAGCTTCGGACTACGAATTGTGCTCCACATAATAGTACTGTTGTGGAAGACGATATACCGTAGTATACGGTACTTCGTCCAAGGAGTCCTACGCGTGCTGTTTCGACGACGTCGCCGAACACGCACCAGAAAGGACTTGTGAACACCAGGAGTCAGAACCCACTCTATGTATATTCCACACTATATGTCACACTATAAGTTACTCACACATGCACGCTCATCACCTACTTCTGTGTAGCCCTCATACAGGGACTCTTCATCTAATTACTTCCTTTACAGTTCAGCAACGTTCACAATGGGCAAAGGAAAAGAGTCGTCTGGCAAGTCAGCAGCCGAACTAAAGAAGCCACCACCACCTCCAAAACCTTCGTCATCGACAGCAAGTGACAAGTCGTCCACTCCACGTACGACGACTATGACAGAAGCGCCAAGCAAGAAAGTTCATGACGAACGTCAAGAAAACATGGAGAAGGCCTACAATAAGATACTCAAGGGCGGATGGTCGCTCATTGGCCTCGCATTTGACGAGTACGACAAGATCCAGAAAGAGGTAGCCGGACTGCGTCAGGAGACACATGCGAACACCATATCCCTCTTCTCCGAAGTGGCAGCGATACGTTCATCAGGATCACTCGAGGGTAAAGCAGCAGTTCAACAGCTACAGGAGATCCAGAAACAACAAGCCACAGAGCCACGAACAAGGATGGAAAAAGCTCCTCGAATGGCAAACGGCTCTCGAGCAGAAAATTGAGGCGCTCCTCAAGCTGAAAACACCGTGTGCACTCACTAAGGTCGAGCTGACGACGACCATGCGGAAAGAGTTCGACACTCTTCGTCAATATCAAGCTCATCTTTTTGAGGTTCAGCCGAAACCCGTGGTCAAGGACGATCTTCAAACAGTACTTGAAGACCAGCAAGCTCCTCGAATGGCAGCAACTGCGTAAGACGCTCCAAACGCCATCGAAGACAAAGCAGATCGTAATGCAAATGACATAGGACAGATCACGGCTACACTGGAAAACATCTCTCGGGACATTCGTCGACTCTGCACACACGAGGTCACTCGACCGCCTTCAGTAAGACGATCGCCACAGGCTGATGATCACCGCAGCAGCCACCGGGACACATCTCGCAGCAGACGGCCAGAAGAACCAACAGTTCGTTCCACAGTCAGACGCGTGCCCACCCCGAACAGGGACGATACTCGTACTCTACAGCAGATTCGTAACGATATCCGCGACACGGACGATAAACTGCGACGTCTGAAACGACAAATGGAACACACACTGCGAGAAAACGAGCCCGACTCAACTGATCGTCTCCACGACATGAACGAGGACAAGAAGAAACTCATCGCACAAAAGGAACGTCTCGAGTCCATGGAACGACGACTGGCACACGACACGCGCCATCAGGAATCTCGTCATGGACGGTCACCACCAGGTAAACGAAGCCGCACGGATTCCCGCGGACATCAGTAACGCAATCCGCTCAGCAGGTTCACCAGGATACCTCATCGTGCCGGCCGGGAGTATATCGATTCTCCACCAGGATCATCGATACTTCCTCTTTACCGTAATATACTACTTCCTTATTGGTGCGCTATTATCGTAGCACCTCATTTAGCGATGACTCAGCTGTAACCTCAATTAATGGCAATCGATAGGCTTCTCGGGCTGAGTCATCAGGTTTCTTTATGCCAACAGCCTTTATCTGGACTGTACATCAGGAAACATTGAAGCTCGGCTCCGCCCACTCCGGCTCATTTTCTACAGACGCTGACCTCATCTGCCAGCGACCTCTTCATACTTCATCCGCATTTATCTTCATCACTTATTGATCGCTCATCTCACCTATATAAAACTCATGTATGTCTATATATAAGAATAAAGTTTAATATCTATCCTGATAGAAACGGATGGCACCGCTGGATCAGAGTCTGTTGGATACTGTAGGTATTTCAGAACGAGTGAATCCAAACATGGAATGAGGTAATGGTCTTTGTTCAAGTAAGTAGACGTCCTATTCTCCACGCAAAGCTGCAGCAACGATCCGCAAAAACGATCCAATCAAAGAATTAGACAGAAGCGCTGGCCATTAGCGGTTCAGCGATTCGTTTGCCGTTTTGAAAAACACTGACAATCTTGTGTTGTCGCTGAACCCAATGCCGCCCTTCCTCACTTGAGTGAGTAATCACATTCCATACAAGATGCAGCGCAGATGGCAAGGCAGTGTGGGGGGAGGCGAGAGGAGGGAGCACAGGGCATAGCTGCGACAGTACGACGGCTTGGAAGGTGTCATGACCCTCGGTCATGATAATGATGAGGCACCCCTAGCACTTTTTAGTGCCACTACTTCCACAAACGCAGAATGAGTCATACGGCCCTTCCTGGAGGCGGGACTTGTACCGCCCAGAACCGGTTTGGCCGTACCGCCCTTTTTCGAGCCAATAAATACCGGTGCCAGAGGGGAGCTAGGCTTCAGTTCGACCCTTCGTCTTCCGCGATCGGCGGGCTCTTCTTAGTCTCTCTCTCTCTCTCCTCTCAACAATGACGAATACAATACGAGGTACAATACATATGTAATATAATGGAGAATACTTATATGAATACACTACTTTTAGCTAACCTTATAGGATGAGGACATGCTACGGGCCGGCGGACCCCCGGCGGATGCTGATGCCTTATACTACTGTGAAAACTACGAGGAAGACAAGACAAACTACGCGAGGACAACCTGCACGCAGCTAGGGCGCAACTACCCTGTCATGGTTCATTGTAGATATAGTGCTGTAATTGTAATGTCTTATTATTCATGTAGATAAAGATTAAAGATTAAAGTGTGCGCGGCAAGCTACCACTCCGAACCACCAAACCTTATTGGGACGTAATGCACCCCAAAATAGAGGAATAGAGGCGGAATCATCTGTACAGGAGAGGAAATCGTTATGGAAACACCCAACTATTGCTGGGATACCGTGTAACAAGGGAGGTCGTACAGGGTGTGGTGCGCTTTTAGAAATTGGTTCCTTGCATATTGTAGGCCTAGGCCGTTCAAGACGACAAGGACGAGACATCGAGACGCGAAGCTGGTGAGCACTCCGAACGGACAAGATTCAAGACCTTGCCCGATCACCCGTAATAAAGTATTAATGGAGCCTTGAATTTTGTACCTTCACAAGCGTGACCAGTAACCCCAAGTTACTGAAAGGGCGAGCAAGTTAATCAAGATCAAGGTACAAGAATCCAAGAAAATACGCAAAAAACATTCCCGAAAAGCGCACCTCGCTCTAAATGACCTCCCTTGTAGTGCATGCACCATTCGCTCACCAGCATTGCATCGTTGCATACATCAACCAGTAGCGAACGACTCTCACTGTACTTGATTGTTCTTATTGAACTGCACTCGAGGTTTTCAAGAATCTTTATTATGTGGCTGACGTTTCGGTGAGATCACCTTCTTCGGAGCCTGAAAGGGTGGAAATCAATTTATGAACTATCCGACCAAATGCCTTACTCCCTCACAGAGACCTTCGACCCCATCCTAGCCATCACGTAACCAATCAGGAGAGGATTACCGTACCTGCCAGATCCACTAGGTCAGCTACGAGTAGCACAGTCCAGGGAGCTTTCGAACCGATCGCATTCAGGGTTCCGTGGGGAACGCTAGCCTTATATACGGGGTTAACTCCCGCGTAATTGACAGCCCTTTCGGTTCATTTTTGGATCCCTGACCTGGATCCAAAATGCCTCGAGGGTTTTGCGTGCGGCAGTTTGAATTTCTTGCTCCAGGACCTCTACCGTGACCCCGAAGTCGACCCCGCCATGGGCATTTACCCTGTGGCAACCCAGCGCAGTGGACACCCGTGACCTAGTTTTCCCGTCGAGGTGTTCTTTGACCCGCACATGAAGTGGCCTGGCTGTCTCACCTATGTACTCGTCGCCACATGTTTGGCAGGTGATCTTGTAGACCACACCCGTGACCGCGCAGTCTCCCTTCCTGCTGTTCGGGAAATGCATTTAGGAACTTCTCGAATTGTCCCATTCAAAACAGCTTCCAGATAAAGGAGGCGAGTGATAGAGCACGTAAATATGCACCCATAGACCTCCTTCCTCTGTCGTGATCCATCATGGATGTGATTGGACCAAAGTAGTCCCAACCAATATTTTGGAATGCTTTCTTCACTCGATGCTCTGGAAGGTCTATCATTTCGGGATATTTATAAGGAAGATTGTTCATTTTCTGACAAGGAATGCAGGACCGTAAGCACTTTTTGACTTGCTCTCGAAGCCGCGGAATCCAGTATTTTTGCCTCACTTCCGCCATGGTATGCCCTGTGCTATTGTGATATGGTCCATGTGCTTCCAATACGATAAGCGACAGAGATCCGTATTAGGCACAATTAAAAATGGGTCTCGTCGTCCGCTATGCCTCAGTCGCATCTTCTTTACTCCTTTTAGATGCATCGCGCATGCTTGCTCGTCACGACAGGCACTTCGCCATTATACGGCCATTAGAAGCTGCAAGTGTTGTCGCTAGTAAGATAGGTACATGCTGTCATTGCAATTCCACTAGCGTCTGAGTATGTCACTAGCGTATGTGATGTCAGTCCCTCCTGTGTGCTCTTCTCTCGGTAGGTTATGCTCCTCGCTCAGAGGCTCATTCCAGTCGTAGTTATGCCTTTATAAAAGCTGCTGGAAGTGTTTTGCTTTTACCAAGAGTGGAACCAAACATAAAAACGGGTCGCCATGTTTGGCTCTCAATAAACCTCGGTATTTTGTTGATGTGATATTAGTTGTTGTTAACTCCACACAAGGTTGACAATAATATTTATTATTATTATTATTTATTTATTTGCTGGCCAAGGTTTCGGTGAGTTCACACTCTTCAGAGCCTGAAAAGGTGTAAGTTGATTTATGAGTACTTGATCAAATATCTCACATCCCCACATAGACCTTCGAGCCTCCCCCTCGTTCACGTCAACAATAGGGAAAAAAAATTATCGTTCCCGAGTCACTGGATCAGCCACGGCTAGCACAGACGGGAGGTTTTCGGACAGATCGCATTCAGAACCCCGTTCAAAAGGTTAACCTTATATAGGGTTGTTGCTTAACTCCACGCAAGGTTGACAATAATATTTATTTGCTGGCCGACGAGCCCCCTACATAAGGTTCAGACTTTTGAACGGGGTTCTGAATGCGATCTGTCCGAAAACTCCCGTCTGTGCTAGCCGTGGCTGATCCAGTGACTCAGGAAGGTACGATAATTTTTCTCCCTATTGTTGACGTGATGAGGGGGAGGCTCGAAGGTCTATGTGGGGATGTGAGATATTTGATCGAGTACTCATAAATCAACTTCCACCCTTTCAGGCTCTGAAGAAGGTGAACTCACCGAAACGTCGGCCAGCAAATAAATATTATTGTTAACTGTGGAGTTGAGCAAAAACTATTAGGTTGACCGGAAAGTTTCCCGCCATTGAATTGGTGAGGAATCCAACGGCCAAGCTTTGCGACTTTACCAATCTTCTCCAGCCCAGATTCAACAGTTGATTGGGCATGGCCGAGCATCGCTGCAAGTTCCCTGGTAGTGGCGTACGGATCCTCTTCCACGGTGGATTGCAGCAACTTCAAGTCTAACTCCATCGGCCGGCCGGACCTTGGAGCATCTTGGAGAGAAAAATCTCCTTTCTTGAACTTGGCCATCCAGGTCTTGCACGTGTCGTAAGAGATAGCGTCAGCGCCATATGTATCCACTATCTTGGCTTGGGCTTCCTTTGCGTTTAAGCCAGACTGATGAAGGAAAAGAAGACAGTGCCTCAGGTGCATCCTGTCGGGTTGAAACTTGGGCGGCATTTTGGAATCCAAATGCAAGCTGGGTGAGTGTGAGGTAGTGATGTGAAAGAGTCTCTTGCGTGCTTCATGCACACCCCACGATAAGTCATAAACATACATGCAAGGCTAATATGGTGCGATCAAACACGTGGCGGGAAACTTTCCGGTCAACCTAATAATATCAATAAAAAGGGGCCATCTACAGAGACAATTTGCAGAGCGATCGTGTGTTTACTGACAAATTCGTCCTCATACTCATTTACCATTCCTAATTCAGCATCGATGAAACCATGACCTACACCTGTACCCAGTAGGAATTGAAGCTTTATAAGCTTTTTACGTTTTCGGATGTAAGGTTCGCAGAGATCCTGTAAGGAGAAACATCTCTCCTTGCCGTGTTCGTTTGGATACATCTTCTAAGGAGCGCCCAAGGATGGAGATTCGCGAGGTGATGTGTGTAACCCTCAGGAGTCTCTTCGGAAGGTCTATCCTCCGATCGCGTTTGCGAGAGAAGCCGGTAGGTCGAGTAGGACCACCTGTTGGGAAACGACATCGACTGCGAGAACGATAACAGTTGCTAGGACCCCAAGAGCGAGCGGAAGAGGGTGGATAGTTGCTACGAGTGTTGGGAGGCTGAGGCGACGCTGAAG